TGACTCTGAACCTGGAAAAAAGTTCTTTTACTATAGATACGACATGAGAAAATAATTAACTTTTTTAAAACTTATGTCAAAAAACCACTAAAATGTTTTCTTCGATCAAATATCGTACCAGTCGACTCAGAGATTCATGTAGATCAACTTGGCATACTTTTTTGGGTGTTAGTGGGTGTTAGTATAATCAACTCGACGAGCTCTATCGATTGGCTATCTTAGTTTTGAGGATGCTGTTTTTCCGAATAACATATTTATTTCGTCGAAAAGATAACTTTTACTATGAGCAAGACTTTGTTCTAATGGAAAGCGTAAAGAAGTAGGAATCTTATAGCTCAACCTACCTGTAAAATATCCGTATTTGTCGGTGAAAAATAGCTCCAAAGCTTCAAGAATACTAAGAAACGTTTTTATAACCTGTTCATAATTATCCCAGGCTACTCTAGGCTACGCAAAATATGTAAGACAGAACACGTGATATATCATACGAAAGGAGAAAAACTACATTTTTCTTTTTCAGTGCATATATATTTAATATAAGTTCAATAGTAATTTCAGAATAAGTACACACTAATTGAAAGAGAAAGTTGCAAAGTCTAAATAAAATTGCTATATATTTATTTATTCATTTTTTGTTTTATCCCTTTATGCTCTTAAACATAAAATTAATAAGTATAAGTCTTACACCTTCATTCTGTAAAAAAATCATTATCTGCATGCGAATTTTTATTTTTTGACAGAAAGATTTCGGCAGATGTATTTCGCAAGTTGTGGCTAATGGTTCTATCTTTCAGATCTGAGTATATAATATAATAAACGCTTCTTTCCGTCAGCTAGAGTAATTCCTTTTAGTTAGAAAAGATTCACTCGACAAGCACAGTATTTACGTTGTTCTGATCTTATTCTTCAACTTTTTCCGAAAATTCTTTCACTATTGTGTAGCTGAGAATCTCAGAAACCGAATAAGAAAAAAGAATTTTCAGTTTATGGAAAAGGATGTGAATGACGGGAGAGGTACTTCTACAACTTCACTCTCGATTCGCCGATGTAGCTAGGATTTCGTTAACGTGTGAGTCAAACGTTTTTTTATTTAATATTGCATTATTATTTATTTTTTATCTATTTATGCAATCCACTAAAATAGAATTACAAAGACTAGACAAAAGCAAGTACCGTGTATACCACTAGTAGTGTCACACCGCAAAATGAGCAGAAGAACTAAGTAACTTTAGAAAAGTTGCACGTAACTGTGAGATTTGAGTTATACTTTTGGCTTCAGTACAAATATTCTATAACACTGTGAGATCCAACTCCTACTCTCTCTTTTATTTGAAGCAAATTAACGGCTATATATAGTACAAAAGTTGCACAAGAATTTTGCAAGAGGTGCGCAAGAACAGAAATATGTGGAAAAACCACAACATGACGCAAATGTTGTGCAACAACAGAAAGAGTTAAGAAAATTCCAGGATGAAGCAAGAGTTGCGCAATAACTTAACTTTATATTATGACTGCATGCAGGTCATAACACCTCCCCCAACAGCAAAGATGCACGTCCCGGGCATCGAAGTGAAAGAAGAGCGTTAAACGGATGAAGTGGAGAAAAAAATACAGATATGACACAAACAAAGGTTAACAAAATGAAAACGGGAATAAACGGCTAGAGAAAGAGGTTCATGGTATTGAGCGACAGGTGACCCCTGTCGAATCCAGCAGTGTCATCCCAACACTTGTGTTCCCACGCCACAAGCTTTGATTTGATAAACCATTACCTACTCTACGCATATGTCTATCCCATCATGTCAAGAAATCGAAGACGTTGCCACGCCGCCCGAATTGGTTCGTTGTGTGTCGATGTCACTGGTGGTAAACATCAGGATTTTTTGCGTCTAAATAATTCTTTAAACACTTTTCGTAGTATTGTGTATATCACACACAAGCATTCGATACTTGTATCCGTCTGTCTTATTTCTTTCTCTGTATGTGCACATAAATATCTTTTAATTAATAATTATTCTTATCATCAAATACTTGAAAAGAAGTTTCCCTCGAAGGAGGCTGTTGAGAACAAACATTAACAATCACACAAATAGAAAGATTAGCATCGATAGTAACACATAAAAGTTATATAAACAGAAAGAACGTCAGTCATACATTCATTCATTCTATCTCCTCTCCTTTACCCAAACACATCGGAAGTAATAATACTAATTAACAGTATTTAGGGTTTTTAACCATGATAGAAACAATACAGAGACTCGAGTCCAGCAGTCCGACAGCCATTTTGTCGTTTTTACATAGTTTTTGATCTGACAGCTAGCCTTTTTCAAAAATCCTGCTAGCAGTCAATTGACGGCTATTTTTGACGGTTAGCCGGAAACAACCCACATAAAACCTACATAAACAGAAAGAATGTCAGTCATACATTCATTCATTCTACCGCCTCTCCTTTACCAAAACACATCGGAAGTAATACCACTATACGAACTATGATAGACGGAGCTGTAGGACCTGTGTCAGTGTAAAGAAGGAAGTATCTTCTATAATGGATTTTATGAGCAAAGTAAAACTGTGGCGCAGCGTAAACGGATTATGACACATTTATGACAGAATGAGAAGAAAAGAACACGTTTGACGAGTCACTTATTTCCTATTACGGTTCTTTATCGATCGAAAAGGAGAAATCCAAGTTGAAATTTAAAATAAAAGTTGAAATTTCTTGCGCTGCACATTTGACGTACAAAATCATCTTCATGGCATCACTATTTGAATCAAGCTGTCCGAATGAAATTATTCTACCTATATTCCATTATCTCGATCCGTTTAGCATATTTTCGTCCTTTTATAATTTGAATCAACGTTTCAACTTATTACTGCAATATTATTTTCATTCAGTAAACTTGAACAATGCACCTTACAAAACATCCAAACATTTTACCGAAATTTTATTGCCCACTATTGGCCATTGAGTAGAGGAGTTAAAACTCGGTCATTATCCACGTTATCCACAACAGCAATTGGATACTCTTCGATTATGTTCAAATTTGCGAACATTAGCATTATTTGACGTAGGACTTCCCTATATTGAACCGTATTTAGAACTATTTTCATCTTTGCACGAATTAAAACTTAACATCACTAATTGTGCAACTAACGATCTTCATAGAATAAAATTGTGCAAATATTTATTCTCGCGTCGCAGTCGGCTAGCGATACTAGATATCAACTGGATTGTCACAAAAGGATCAAACTAGACCATAAACTAGGATCATATATCCTTAATTTAAATGCCATTGATTGTAACGCATAAAACTTTTATTTAACACTACCATCCGATAATAAAAGAAGTCCAAAAGAAATACGGTAGGACTCTATCATCGTTTTAACATGTGGTAATGCTATCCACCATCAATTCGTTTACCAACTAATGTGTTGATATTTATGGTTGGTCTTAGGCTAGACCACAAAAATTCATTACATATATTCTGTAAGTCAATTACAATCCTATTAGGAAATATTGTTATTGAAAATGTATATACTGTTCCACTTAATACAAATACTTTTAAAACCGTACTACGCTCACAAAGGACAAACTCATACTAGATCACATGCCTATATACTGCTTGACTGATGTAACTAATTATATTAGTTCATTATCTGGTATACGACTATTATTATCTAATGGTACACCAAGAAATATACACGAATCTCTATTTATACGTGCTTGACAACGTGGTGGATCTAGCCAAACGCTTATCCAAAATAATTCAGTTTTTTTCACATTTATTTTCCCACCAGATGCACAATTATACAAGTCAAGCATACCAAATGTTTCATGTTCATCTTGTATTTCAAAAGCAATTGTTGTTACATCGTCAGCATATCCTATAGCTTTAATTATAGGATCTTCATTAGGCAATAGTATCTTATTGCATAGACTTTTATATTTGCCACCTGGTATAGTAGGACTGTAAAAGTACCCGTTGCGTTGGTTTAACGCTAACTAACAACACAGTTACCGTTAAAACACCGGTAACTGTCTTTTCAGTTACCGTTGAAATAACGGTAACTATCAGTTAGTTAACTTTGTGGTAACTATTTCTTAATTATGGCAGAAATATCCGGACAGGGGCTTAAAATGGCTTCCAAAATTGTTAGTTTTCCACTAAAACTGTTGAAACTTTCATAAATGACATGATTTTGATTGGCACACACGTGCCAGTCTACCAAACTAATCGAAATTATATAACTTTAATGTTTTGTAACTGCGGTTTTTAAGATCCCTGGAGACCTCAGCATCTACAGCCAGCTTGAGAAATCTTTTTGTTTTCATCAACGAA